GCACTATCTATTATTACCGGGTAAAGCTAATGTAGTCGCGGATGCTTTTAGTAGGAAGATAGTGGGACAACTAGCAGTATTATCCACAACTCAAGTGCAGTTGATGAAGGAGTTTGATAAATTGAAATTGAAATTTGTCATTCCACCAACTCAAGTTACTGCAAAGATTGCAGCATTAAATATTCGACCTACTCTTAGGGATAAAATCAAGGATGCTCAAGACAATAATAATTTTTTTAGGAAAATCAAGACGAAAGTTGGTACAAGTAAAATAAAAGGTTTTGCAATAAGAGATAACAATACTTTGATGTTTGAGGAAAGATTATATGTACCAAAAGATGAAGGGATTAGAACAGGGATATTAGAAGAAGCTCATTGTGCCCCGTATGCTGCATATCCCGGTGATACTAAAATGTATCAAGACCTTTGCAATACATTTTAGTGGAGGAATATAAAAAGGAGGATTGGTCTTTTTGTTGAGAAGTGTATTATATGTCAGAAAGTTACATCAAAACATCAAAGACTATCAGGACCAGTAAATCCAATGAAAATTCCAAAGTAGAAGTGGGAGCAAATAACCATGAATTTCGTCGTTGGTTTCCTGAAGTCAACCAAAGGACACGATGCCATTTGGGTAATTGTGGACAGGTTGACAAAGTCAGCTCATTTTCTTCTAATAAGAATGAACTACAATATGGATCAATTTGCTCAATTATATGTTAAGAAAATTGTATGGCTGCATGGAGTTCTAGCATCCATTGTCTCAGATCAAGACCTAAGGTTTACTTCTAAATTTTGGAAGAGTATGCAAGGAGATATGTGGACCAAGTTAAATTTTAGCACTGCCTGTCATCCTCATTCTGATGGATAGCCTGAAAGGATTAATCAGATCTTGAAAGATATGCTCCGGGCATGTGTCTTGGATTTGGGAGTTAGTTGGGAATCACACATGTCATTTGTGGAGTTTACATACAACAATAGCTTACAGGCTACTATTGTCATGGCTCCTTATGAACCTCTCTATAGTGGAAGATGTAGATCACTCGTTTATTGGGATGAAATCGGAAAAAAAGGAATTTTGGTCCAAAGATTAATGCAAGGACTGTGCAAGCAATTAATAAAATTAGAGACAAGATAAAGTCTGCTCAAGATATACAGAAAAGCTATGCAGATCAACAAAGAAAATTGATAGAATTTGAAGTCGATGAGAAAGTGTTTCTAAAAATGGCACCAATAAAAGGGTTATTAGATTTGGCAAGAAGGAAAAGTTGAGACCTTGATTTATAGGTCCTTTCAAAATTTTAGACAAAATTGAAAATGTTGCGTACTGTCTAGCATTGCCATCTAGACTATCAATAATACATAATGTATTCCACGTATCAATGCTTAGAAAGTACGTCCCAAACATGTGATAAGCTATGAATCATTGGAAGTAGAGAAGGATCTAACATATGAAGAGGCTCCTTTGGAGATTGTCGAAAGGAAAATACATGCATTAAGGAATAAAAAATTGCCTTGATTAAGGTTCAATGAAAAATCATGGAGTTGAAGAGGCTACTTGGAATAAAGAAGAAGAACTAAAAGTCAAGTATCCAGATTTTTTCGACTAAATAAGATAATTTCAGGGACGAAATTATTTTAAGGGGGAAGGGATGTAACACCCCGAATTTTAATTATATTTTTATATGAACTAAATTTAATAATGGTCATCTAGCAAATGAAATAGTCTATGTTTAGCCTTTGTCGTCACACTAAAGTTCAACAATTGAAGTGATAAACTAGACCTACTTATTAGCATAAATGATTTATTTGCTTACGTATAGAATTTATCGTGAGTTATTTGGGTCGAATATTTAAGCATTTTAGAAGTTAATAAAAATATATCGATATTATATTCATTTTGTAGCTCGTATCAAATATAATTTATTTGGCTCAAGAATAAATATTTTTAGACTAATTATGCCCGAGTTATTTTGATAAAAAAAATACTCTAGATTTTATATTTTATTAATAAACAAAATATAAATAATAAAAATAGACGAAATTGCAGTGCGGTTGATTGGAAGTTGAAAAGAATATTATAACTTAAACATAATTAAATCCCTTAATTTTGATAATAATTGATATAATTAATCCTAAAACTCTTAAATAATATGTTTAGAAATAAATTTGAAACTTAAAAATATTTGATTGAAATTTAAAAAAATGAAACTGAAAGTGGTCATTGGAATTTTCTTATATATATATATAAGTTAGATTTTCTTTTAGAATATAAACTTTATTTTCTACATTGATACACACACATCGTTGGAAATAATTCTCTTCACTACTATTCTACAAACATATTTTCAGAATTTTTCAAATCAATTGAGGTGAGAATACTTTGAGCAAGTAGTAAATTCTTATTTTCTTGGTATTTTTTATAGATTTTGATATGAAATACTCTAAGGCATTCGGGTCGATTTCTATGTTAAATTATTCAAAATTGACCGTTAAGTCGAATATGTTAAATCCTACGGGATGGACCATTTTGTCAAATATGTAAATTATATGGGATATAAGAATTCTTATAAAATTCCTTAAGCAAATGGATATCGCGACCAGTTTGCTATAAATCTAAAAATATCGATATGCTATGTCATTTTATATTTATATCATATTAATAAGGATATGCACGTATTTCTATACCCACTTTTATAATAACATTTCAGATGGGGTTGGCAACGGTTCGGTTATGGGTCGGTTCGGCTAAAACCATAACTACACCACCAATTTTTTGACCATACCATAACCGCACCATAACCACGTAAATCGGTTCGGTTCGATTCTCGGTTCGGCACGGTTCGGTTCAATTAATAACCACGAAAATAAATTATTTTTTATAAGTTCATCCGTCAAATTGATATAAAACAATTTATGAAAAAAGTCAATGAAAACAAAAACACAATATTCCAAACGAAAATGCAAACATTATCCTAATTTTCAATTGCGAAATACAAATTTAACAAATAATATTATAAATATAATAACACTAAAATTTTCCTTCATTCTTAATTGTTGTGCATCGAAGTTACTTGATTCATTCTTCCCTATAAATCTTACTAGCATAGATCAGCATTCAAATTTGATTCCTATATAGTAAATAAAAAATGTTAGTAGAGAATACAACGATACTACATATTTCAGAATAATCTTAACTAAGATTTAAATAAAAAAATGTTCTTCTTCGTCATCTTCCTCCTCACTAAACATTGCACAAGCTCTAGAGTATGATGAAGGAGTGAAATTTTCTACACACAATAGAAAAAAATTAACAATAAAATGAAATGTATAAATAACAAATATAAAACAATAAATCCTACCATGAATATCAGTCTAAAACCAATCCCAAGCACACATGAAAGCTTCTAAAGTCTTTGGGTGAAGCCTATTTCTATATGGACTCATAAATTTACCACTTGTACTAAATGCTGACTCGGATGCCACAGTAGATATTGGAATGGCTAATAAATCTCTTGCAACATTCAGTAAAGTCGAATATTTTATTGAATTTTTTTTCTACCATGTCAACAAATTAAAACCATCCATCCTTGGCAATACTGGCAAGTCTAGAAAAATATCGAACTCTCTTTTTATATAATCAGCAGTAATAGAATGACTAACAAATATAATAAATTTTCGAAGGCGACGACGACTTGGACCGTGGAGGCAGTGGAGCCGTGCGTGAGTTTGTGGAGAGTAGGGTTTGTATTTATATACCGTCATACTAATAATATTATTATGGGCTAATGGTAAGTGAGCTGGCTGGCTGAGTCAGGCAGATGTAATGATGGGGATTTTGTTTTGGTCTGAATAGAAAAGTAGTATAAAGCTCAATAATCAATTCAGTTGTGTTTTTTTTTTAGCGGGTAATCGGTTTGGTTTCGGTTCGACGGCGTAAATACCATATCCGCACCACCACGAACTGGTTCATTAAAATCAAAACCATATCCATCTCGTTGCACCATCGGTTCGATTTTTTTTGCCTCATTCGGTTCGGTTAACCGCGATTTTCGATTTTGACGGTTCAAATTGTCATCTCTAATTTCAAATTAGAACGTGTAGTATGGACACATGGCAGATTGACAATTTCTAGAAATAATAATTTCATATTAGAACGTGTCGTGTGATACTCATGGGGTTGCCAACTTAAATTTCTAGAAATGATAATTTACAAAATGTTTAATTTGAAGAACATATTTATGTTAACTTTTTTATTTATTAATATATATTTTCTTGTGCCCAAACATTTGACATTTTATGTTAAATTCGAATTGATGATTTGAAATCGTAGCACTTTAAGACTTTATTAGATGTGTAAACTTTTCACTTAAAATGTTTATAATAAATTTATCGACTTATCGAACAAATTTCAAATTTTAAATAAAAGTAAATTTTTGCTTAAATTAGGAAAAGAGGATTCTCGATAACACTTTCAGTCTATTTTATAAATAAATAAATAAAAAGAATGAAATAGCTTTTGGAACGTTACATCCTGAAGTTCGACATAGCTACTGATTCCTTTGTGTACATAAAGCCCATACAGAAAGGAGACTAATCGTTTTTGTTGCAGCACATGTAGTAACAAGCCTTGGGCTCCTCGACTAGTAGATCTACCAAGTTAAGAAAGAATCCTTCAAAGGTACTCTGCTAAGATGATAAATAGTAGATTTCTGAAAACAACTTCTATCCAGATATGACTTTCATGCCCAGATTGTAATATCTGCATAAAACTCATGTTTACGAAGGTTCATGGCTAGAGATCCAAATACGGAAACAGCATCTACATACGGTAAAAATCGACTATAATATGTCTTAAAATTATTCATAGCGAGTAACAACTAATGGGGAACATTAACCTGAAATTTTTTATGCTCTGATACATCAGAACCATGGGAAAGATAATTAATGCTGTACCGAATAATGGTTATAGATCTTTTTGAAACATATAAGTGCAGAACACAAACAAATTGAAGCAAACAATATTTTCACTTTATCTTTTATTAACAGGCAACTCTCAGCATAAAACAAATAATTGCCCATGGAACTCGGGCCAAATGTTCAGTGACAATTTATTGTTCCTTGTTTCACAAAAAGTCAAACTCACCATGGATGAAAGTATAACTTCAACTTAGAAAAATGAGTGCCCTGAATACTGCAGATTGAATCGCAATCACAATTTATAAGAGGACGAGCCCGAGTTCTGATGGTCTCAAAGCTTGCTTTAGGTGATAGTTGTAGAGATAGTAGTGGAGTTCTCCGTCTCCTGGAACAAACTTAAGCTCCTTCAAGAAAGTCTCATTATGCATGACATCCAAAGCATTGAAAACATCAAAATCATTCTTCTTTGCCACAATGAGAGCATCATTCATCAACCGAATCAATGGAGTCTTTGTCGACACGTTATAAAAAGAATAAGCAGCCTTTAAAGCAGAATGGTTTTGATTGCCGAGTATAGAAGACGGGAGGGTGTAAAAACTGCAAAAGTCAGTGATTTCATGAGTTTCTGGACTTTCTACCAAATAACTATCCACAACATTCTCCTTTGGAAGCAGCCAGTGCTCTACATCATCCTCATCAAAATCTGGTGCAAAAATTAACTTCTTCAAGTAATTCTTAAGCAAACGACTAACTGCAGGAACATCATGGGGTTCCATCTTTCGAAACCCGGGAGTCACTGTTTGATCTGGTAACTTGTACAGCTTTATTGTCCTGTTCTTTGTCATTCTTCCACTGATCCTAGAAAATCCAACATCAATAAGTTTCTTAGGATTTAATGATCTATGCCAATATTGACAAGTAGCTATGGGCGTAGGACGGACAACCCCAGCAGTATAAGCAGCTTGCCAGATATTCTCCAACTGAACCCTTCGGGTGACCTCTTTAATCATGACCGGAGTAAGTCTTTTCGACCTGAGTTTCTTGTGAACGCACAGAAAATTTATCTCTGCCATCACAAAAACAGTGTCACGGACCCGGATTTTTGCAGGAACCCCAGTAATGAACGCAACCAATTTTTTTGAATTCTTCACCCTAACTCCAATGTGCCAACTCCTATAATAACCTGGAGGGTGAAGTGCCCAATAAAGAAACTCCTTCGAATAAATGAATCTGAACATGCTGTCAGCATCCTCAACATAATTATTGGTCAAGAGAGCATACACCTCGTTACACATCTCGTCTGAGTCCATATCACAAGTAATCCACTCATAAGGAGTCGGAAGATTATAAGGCTCTTGTTTGACTTCAGACAGGGGTGTCGGTTGCTCAGTCGGGCCTTCAGGTAGACTTGAATCCCCAAGATCCTTGAACTGGCCAACAGGCTGGGTTTCCCAAAACTTGTGCTTTTTCACATGGGAAAGAGACTCAGAAGGTAAGTTACTGTCAGCAGAGGAATCATGCTTCTCAGGTAGTGCATTGTTATCGGCCATTTTCAATAGCTTGAGCTGACGTTTATTAAAACAGCCATTTTCAATAGACTTGCTCTGATACATTCACAAATGATAAACCCAGAACAAATAATAGAAGTAATAAACAATAAAAAACCCTTACAAAGACGTTAACATATAATAACCATCTAAAGTTCATCCATAAACCAAATTAACTAGTAGTCGTGAGTGTATGGACATGGGACACGCCCTTGGCATTAGCAATTGTAGTTAGGTACTAAACAATTAAAGTAAAATGTTTAACCCCACATTAATAAATAGTTTCTACTCAATTTTTAAAAACCAATAACACTACATCCCCACGACCGATGTTATTGTTTGTTGCCCATTTTTCTTTTTTCTTTTTTTTGGGAAAACGCATTTTAGAATAGTGTTTCTTGGGGAACGTGTGGTTAAAAATTAGGTAAAAACTGCAAAATATTTTATAGTAAGAATGTGCGGTTGAAAATGAGTTTTACTAAAAAAAAATAAAAAATAAAAATTTAAAGAAGGGTAGACAAAAAGGAGCTGGCCTATGCAATGTCCACTCAACAAGTTCAAATTTGACTACGTGAATAGTACCTCCAATAGGAACTTGAGTTAGTCCCTTGGCATTAGCAGCATAGTCGGACACTAACCGACTTTTAAACAATAGCTACCAAACTTCGTAAATTAGTTGCACAATCCTCCCACAAACAATATGGGAAGGACCAAATGTAGAGGGCTTCAAATAACCCTATGGGATGGATCAAAGTAGAGTTCTTGTTCGGCGAATTTACAGCAACTTCCATGATAATTCTACATTCTTGGAAAAGCGGAGATAAAAAACTAGAAAAGTATTCGAAAACTACCATCATTTCAGTTTTGCTTTTGCACAAATACTCACTTGTGCGTGAATCTTAATCTAAGTAAATAATAAGTGCGTGAATCTTAATCTAAGTAAACAATAAACAACCATATATACTTACTGTTTTACCTATTTTATATTGGCCATCATTGGACTTATCCCATTTCCTTAACCCACCGGTCTGTCTCCATTTATTTCTCTATATATATACGGGACTCATTTCATAATTAAGATAAGTTCTCTAACCCGAACCAAACCCACTCTCCTGTTTCTTCCACTCTTTATTTTTTTTTTATTTTTTCGTCCGACAGTTGTTTTGACCGTCGGAGTGATCGCCGGACTTTTTCTCGGCCTATGGCCTTTGCCTCCTAACGGTGCGCTCCATGTGCAAGTGTGGAGGGGATGAGGTCGGAATTCTATAGGCGCAATTTTTGTCAACCATTTGGCGCCGTCTGTGAAAATCGTTACGTTAACTATGTTATACCCTGTACAAAAGGCCACCGGGAAAGAGGGATTTTCCAAACAATTTCTCTACCAAAATAGCAAAGACATCAACCAAAAATTCTAAGAAAAAGGGGCTACTGGAGTTGGAGTTCAAAACTAAGTAATTTTTGAGGATTTTTTTTGACATTCATACCAAAGAATCAGCCATTGGAAGGATGAACAACAGAGTTATCAGCAAACTAAACCAAGCAATTCTACCATCTTTTTCAAAAATGGCGGCAATTACAATCAAGTTTGTAATATTCAGGTTGGGGGGAAATGGTTGGTAACCAAGAATTATAAAAAACCAAAAATGAAACTTTATCCTCAAATTCCCTTCACATATTCTGCTTTAGCTGGTTACACAAAGGATGGAGTTCATTCACTTCAAACACAAAGACCCGTTTGTGAAGCTTTCAACACATACAAACTTTACAACACTTTGGACAAGATGGAGGTTTCTGCTTTTAGGTGTGGCTAATGGCATCTTCTACATAGAGAAATGAGGACTAAATCTTATGGGAATATTATGTTGTAAACGAGGAAGAGTTTAGGACGGGCGCAGCAACCACCTGACCTTCATATCACCAACAACATACAACCCCTGCAAGCATCCAGCTAGTCTCGTTGGGCTGTCAAGCAGTTGTTGCACCACTTATATCTCCGGTACTCGTCATTCAGGCAGCCACTTTCATTCTCCAGCCTCGAGCAACACCAATCGGCATTCACCATCTCCGGCGAAGACTGCTAAAGCTATCGCTAGCTTTGGCAAAAAGTAGCACAACCGCAACCCACATTAACTTCCGGTCTATGGTCTATTTGTGACTGGATCTCAATTTGCATTAATTTTGATGGAGACTGGACAATTATGGTGGCGTGTTTGGAAGAAGAAGCATTGTCCTGCAACTGTTGTTGTCTGATATAATTGGTACATTTCAAGTGGTGCAGGTTAGTTTGGGTTTCATTGGAATTGGGCATGGGATTTCTTGTTCTTTGGTTCCCCTATGGCACTTGCATGGATTATTATTGGGTCAATATTTATTCTCCTTTGTACATCATTTCTGGCCCTTTTATTTGTGGAGTGGTGATCTGGCCCACATTACTATGCTCTCATATTCTATGGTCCAGTTTATTATTCTCTCTTGGGACATTTCCAATGGTTGGACCATTGCACTATTTTGCATCATTTTTTGGTGCAAAGTTACTCGAATGCAATATCGAACTTTGCACACCATTTTAGTGCAAAATGAATAGTGTTGCACCATATTTGTTGCAACACTATTCATTACACTATTTTTTGCGTCAAATGATGCAATGTTCATTTTGTCCTTATTTTTCATTTTTCAAAGATAATGGTTAAGGATATTTATGTCATTTTCGTTATATAATGATGATGATGATGATGATAATAATAATAATAAATTACACTATTAATTATATTATTAAAATTTATTATTTTTAATAATATAATCAATAATAATTAACGTATTTGTTAATTTAACATAAAGTTTAATTCATAAAATTTACGTTTAAAGTTTAATTTAATGTAAAATTTATATTATTAAAGTTTATTATTTTTGTAAATTTAACGTAATTGTTTATCATAAATTAAGAATATAATCAATTATTTTTATCAATTTAACATAATATATAAAACACTTAAATAATTTAGTAATTAATATATTTGTTAATTTAACGAAGTTATGATTTAATAATTTATACAGTTATAAAATAAATAAATATATTTTTTAAATAAATACATTGAGAAAAATCGAAAGAATGAATAAAATAATAAAGTGTTGTTCATTTGGTGTAAGTTTTGGTATAATGGTTGGAAAAGAATTTTGATTTGGTACAAAATTTGGTACAAAATGGTATAAATTTCGGTGCAGCGTTGGAAATAACCTTATATTAATAATAATAATGGAAGGCAGAATGGGGGCTTCTTCCACTTCGGCTGCTACGATTGTTTCACTCTCGCAGATTCACAAGGTTTTATTAAGTCTTGTATTTCAATTCAATAGTAAGTCTTCTCCAGCCCACATGTTAATTGTGTCCAAAAGGGAAAGAAAAAGTTAGTTGAAGCTAGGTTCCCTAACCACTCACAGGTCACAACAACATGTCTTTTAACTTTTCTACAACAACATTTGAAATTGCCATTGCACAAAGCCTCTGCCTACAATCAAACAAACAAGAGTAGTGGAAATCAAAGTTATCATATGTGGCTAATTTCTGAAATGCTCAATACGTCAAATTCCTAATTAGTTGCTTTGATATGGCGTCATAAATTTGATGGCTCGAAGAAGGTAATTTCCGGAATATGCTCAGTAGACTCAAATAGCACCGTGAAAAACTGATTGGAAGCCAATGCACTCTTTATCAATTATTATAAAAGCTAATTTGGCTTCAATTGAACTTCTGGTTACTAGATCTTGCTGGGATTTCAATAATATCAAGAGGCAATATCCAAGCAAAATTTTTGAAGCTGTTGAATTCTTTTTTTCACATTCTAGTGGATTCATTCAGTCGTCTTATAAGAGGAAATGCGAAAGACGTGTGAAATGTGCTGCTATAATTCTTGATGGTTTTGTGGACGGGCTACAAACCTCAGCCATACCATTGTTTTTCAAGTGCACGCAAAGTGTATGATGAAATGCTTAAGCCCAAACCCTTCTCATTTAAAGGCCTTTTTGGTCTTCATCTTTATTATTTGAGGCAAGCTCTAAGCCTTCACTCACCTAGGCTAGCTTGTAAGACCTCGCATAATTGAAGGCGTATACTAGCCTACGGATTTCTTATTATCGGATGCAGAATTTTGTAAATCATCGTTCTTTGAATAAAGAAAGAGGCAGTACCTTGAAGTCCTCGTTCCTTGAATAAAGGAAGAGCCGGTATTTTGTAATTCCTCGTTCCTTGAATAAAGAAAGAGGCGGTACCTTGAAGTCCTCGTTTCTTGAATTAAGGAAGATGTGGTATTTTATAAGTCTTCATTCCTTAAAAAAAGGGAAGAGGCAAATTGTCATACGTATTGTTCTTAAAAAAGGAGCCTTTCCTAGCCTTATTTGCGAGGTGTCTATTTCCCACTTCACTAGATGTCTATTCATGACCATGCAAGATGTTTATTCTTCGTCTCGATGGATGCTTATTTTTGGCCTCGCAAGATGTTTATTCCTCGCTTCGCAAGATGTTTATTCCTCGCCTCGTCAGATGTCTATTCATGGCCATGCAAGATGTTTATTCCTCGCCTTGCGGGATGTTTATTCCCCACCTCACTAGATGTCTATTCATGGTCATGCGAGATGTTTATTTGTTGCCTCGTGGGATGTTTGTTCCCCGCCTCGCCAGATACTTATTCCTGGCTTCGCGAGATATTTATTCCTCGTCTTGTAGGATGTTTATTCCCCGACTCGCCAGATGCTTATTCCTGGCTCTGCGAGATGTTTATTCCTCGCATCGCGAGATGTTTATTCCCGCCTTGCCAGATGCTTATTCCTAATTATGCGAGAAGTTAATTTGTCGATAACAAGCCCATTGGTCTCTTCGGAATATTTATTATATGACAAGCTCATATATTGCAAATTACCTAAGTTAATTTGTTTATGGCAAGCTCATAAGTCTCTTCGAAATATCTATTATATGACAAGCTCATATACTACAAATTACCTAAGTTAATTTGTCTATGACGAGCCATATGTCTCTTCGGAATATCTATTATATGACAAGCTCATATACTGCAAATTACCTAAATTAATTTGTCTATGGTGAGTCCATAGGTCTCTTCGGAATAATTATTTTGTTTATGTCGAGCCCATAGGTCATTTCGAAATAATTATTATATGACAAGCTCATATACTGCAAATTACCTAAGTTAATTTGTCTATGACGAGGCGAAAGATCTCTTCGAAATAATTATTATATGAAAAGCTCATATATTGCAAATTACCAAGTTAATTTGTCTATGGCGACCCATAGGTCTCTTCAGAATAATTATTATATGACAAGCTCATCTACTGGAAAGCTAGCTTATAAGTCTTTGATAGTTCAAGACG